AAAACCCAGCATTGAAAGTTTCAAGATAGTACACTGTGAAGGTGAAGCAGAAAACCCAGCATTGAAAGTTTCAAGATAGTACACTGTGAAGGTGAAGCAGAAAACCCAGCATTGAAAGTTTCAAGATAGTACACTGTGAAGGTGAAGCAGAAAACCCAGCATTGAAAGTTTCAAGATAGTACACTGTGAAGGTGAAGCAGAAATTCCAGCAGTGAAACTACCAATATAGTACACTGTGAGAGTGAAGCAGAAAACCCAGCACTGAAAGTTTCAAGATAGTATACTGTGAAGGTGAAGCAGAAAACCCAACAGTGAAAGTTTCAAGATGGTACACTGTGAAGATGAAGCAGAAAACCCAGCATTGAAAGTTTCAAGATAGTATACTGTGAAGGTGAAGCAGAAAACCCAACAGTGAAGTTTCAAGATAGTACACTGTGAAGGTGAAGCAGAAAACCCAGCATTAAAAGTTTCAAGATAGTATACTGTGAAGGTGAAGCAGAAAACCCAGCATTGAAATTTCAAGATAGTAAAATGTGAAGGTGAGGCAAAGAACCAGTAGGGAGAGTTTCAAGATAGTGCACTGTAAATGTGAAACACAGAACACAGCATTGAAAGGTTCAAGATGGTAAAATATGAAGGTGAAGCAGAGAACACATCAGTGAAAGTGTCAAGATCCTGCGAACTGTTTAAATCACGCGAGAACGTTACTATTTCAAAACATATAGCAAACAACATTGATTTCGCAACTCAACTCTACTATTTGTTGTATTATCTACATAAAACAATGCTGCTGTTTAATAGACATGTGAGTTGACTGACTCAAACCAATTCAGTATATGACAAAAATGACAAAATTATAGAAAATTCACATTGTTTATTTACAATCAGATGAGTTGTTTTTTTTTGTTTTGTAACGTCCATATAAGCTATGTAAAACATTATCTACAGGTAGTAAGTTTGTTTCGTAACATCTATATAAGCTATGTAAAACATTATCTACAGCTAGAAAGTTTGTTTTGTAACGTCTATATAAGCTATGTAAAATATTATCTACAGCTAGCAAGTTTGTTTTGTAACATCTATATAAGCTATGTAAAACATTATATACAGCTATTTATTTGTTTTGTAGCATCTATATAAGCTATGTAAAACATTATCTACAGCTAGTAAGTTTGTTTTGCTAACTCCCTGTTTAACATTACTTTTATAGAAAGGGTGTGGTTACCACCTGGATTTGCTAATTGTTGCCATCACTATTGCACTTTGTTCCCTATTTGGACTACCATGGTTTGTAGCGGCTACTGTGCTTGCTATGACTCATGTTAATTCTTTGAAGATGGAATCAGAAACTGCTGCTCCAGGAGAGAAGCCTCAGTTTCTTGGAGTCAGGTAATCTGTTGGAAAGGTTTTGATGAGTCTTTTATGTTTGAAATATTTTATTTTCTATTAGATAGAAAAGAGTCTTATAAAGTTCTTATATTACATCAATGAATAAGTCATATATTACAGGAGCTAATAAGCTAAATATTTTACACAATTAGAGGTTTGATAAAAATATAAATTTAATATTTAATAAAAATAATATCTATTATCTCTAATTTTCCTCAAATTCTATTCTATACTTTCTTACCTCACCTTTCCGCTTCTAAGAATTGGTCACATTTGGTTTGTTCTTTTCATAAGCCCTTTTTTCAAGTCTGGTCACCATACTAAAACAAGTAGAACTTGTCATTACATAATCGTAATGATAACCAGGAAAACAAGAATTTTATATATAATATACTGCTTAGTTTTATTCTCTTCTGCGATTTATCAAATAAATGTTGTCGTAAAGCCCTAAAAGTATTACTTCTTCTTCTTGCGTTGAAACTACTGGTCAGTGCCAACATTTCCTCCTCAGAAGGCATATCTCTGGTCTACTTGTTAACCAGAAGAAGTTATTCCTGATAAATTGATAGAAGTACAAGATTCTTTATAGGGAATGCTCCTGGTTTTCGACTTTTTAGTTGTTCATGTTTTCCAGACTCTCTTTTTTTTCTTCTGCCAGGGGAACTTGAAGATAAAAACGTTTAACGTCAACCTGAAACCCAAACCCACTTTAACTGCTTTTCCCACTAACACGTCTACTTCTTATGTTGAGACCATTTGTGCTTCTTTACTTGCTACACTAAACTTGTAAACTGTCACAGACGTTAACACACACAAAGTGCTCACTTATTTAGGCCAGTTGGGAAATGTCAGTAACCTTATTTCATCCTTTCAGCTTTTTCTGGTATTTAAAACTAAAACTCCGTTTTTAGACCCACCAAGACCTTGTGTAAAAATTGGGACTCGATGTATATAGATGCTATAAGTGACATGAAGCATGTGTTCCTCTTCTGAAGGGGTTGTTGCCTTGTGTAGATAGGTGCTATAAGTGACATGAAGCGTGTGTTCCTCTTCTGAAGGAGTTGTTGCCTTGTGTAGATAGGTGCTATAAGTGACATGAAGCATGTGCTCCTCTTCTGAAGGAGTTGTTGCCTTGTGTAGATAGGTGCTATAAGTGACATGAAGCATGTGTTCCTCTTCTGAAGGAGTTGTTGCCTTATGTAGATAGATGCTATAAGTGACATGAAGCATGTGTTCCTCTTCTGAAGGAGTTGTTGCCTTGTGTAGATAGGTGCTATAAGTGACATGAAGCATGTGTTCGTCTTCTGAGGGAGTTGTTGCCTTGTGTAGATAGGTGCTATAAGTGACATGAAGCATGTGTTCCTCTTCTGAAGGAGTTGTTACCTTGTGTAGATAGGTGCTATAAGTAAATGAAGCATGTGTTCCTCTTCTAAAGGAGTTGTTGCCTTGTGTAGATAGATGCTATAAGTGACATGAAGCATGTGCTCCTCTTCTGAAGGAGTTGTTGCCTTGTGTAGATAGGTGCTATAAGTGACATGAAGCATGTGTTCGTCTTCTGAGGGAGTTGTTGCCTTATGTAGATAGATGCTATAAGTGACATGAAGCATGTGTTCCTCTTCTAAAGGAGTTGTTGCCTTGTGTAGATAGGTGCTATAAGTGACACGAAGCATGTGCTTCTCTTCTGAAGGAGTTGTTGCCTTGTGTAGATAGGTGCTATAAGTGACATGAAGCATGTGTTCCTCTTCTGAAGGAGTTGTTACCTTGTGTAGATAGGTGCTATAAGTGACATGAAGCATGTGTTGCTCTTCTGAAGGAGTTGTTGCCTTGTGTAGATAGGTGCTATAAGTGGCATGAAGCATGTGTTCCTTTTCTGAAGGAGTTGTTGCCTTGTGCCACTACCGAAGTCACACATTTAACAGTTGTTTGGTAAGACACATTATTTTGTTTTAAACATCGTACAGCCGATCGATAACTAATACAGTAAAACAAATAATAGTTTCAGCTGGCACCAAGTTTTCATTAGCGTTTCTGTTTACTAGAAGCATCATTTCGCCCTTTTACCAATTGCTTTTTTAAAAAGTACCCACTTGACTCGCGAACAGTATGAAGTTCTGAAACAGCTACTTGTGGTATAAATCATTTATTTCTGTACAACGTTTCGTATCTAACAGTGAAACGTGATTACACAGAGCATTTGAGGTACAAATACATCACTTCTTCTTCATCGGGATTCGGTCCATGTTTTGGACCAGGGATTGTGAGGTTCAGTGTTCACCTCTTCCTCCCTCTAATCATGCCTAAAATAACAATAATTCAGGAGGGAGGAAGAGGTCTAGATTTTACCTGACCTCCCCATGTCTCCAAAGATCTAAAGCCCGATGCCGTAACGAGAATCTATTTAAAAGGGTTTTTTTTTGTATGTAAACATAGGATTTTGTGTGTGTGTATATGACTGCTAAGCGAAACAACATTGTGAACACGGACCAATAGTGCAATCATGCATAAATGAACCTAGTGAAAATATACGAGATAATATTACCCCATGAATGAGAAATGGCACGAAAGAAGTATATTAATTAAAAATAGATTCAAATTGTAAATACATCCATTCAAATAACTGGGTTAATAATACTACCTCCCTCTGGTTTAAAATGTAATTAACTTAATACAAATATAATGGCGCTCATGATGTATTATTAATGTTAGGTTTTAGTTCTTTGATTCTAGATGTTTCCAGATTTCTCTGTTTGTTTTGAAGTTTCGTCTATATCCAATATTTTAATCTTTTTAAAGTTTATTTCGTGTTTTTATTCAACCATATGTTCATTTACGTTTGATATTTTCCGTATTTCACGTTCCTTGCATTGGTTGTTATTTTCCTACATAGCATCTTTCACATTCTAAACATTCTATTTTATACACTGTGTCATTGCTATATTCTTCATTATTATATAACCTAGGTAGAAAATATTTAAAATTAATTCCTTTAGTTACGATTTTATTTTTTTACGTTTAGTTTGTGCCTTTTTGATTAATTTGTACCAAAATCTAATTAATTTTTCACTGATAAAGCATAAAACATATTTCGTCTCTTGCACTTCTTGTGTGTATTTATCAGTTCTATTGTTGTTCTTGTATAAGTTTTGGTTCATTGTTTTCTTTATTGCGTCATCAATTATACTTAGGGCCCTCATTTTTTTATCTTGAAACATTCTCTTATGTTTTGAATTTCGTTTTTCACGTTTTCATTGGTCCACAGTCTCAGTACTGGTATTATACATCCTAATAATGTTCCGATTTTTATTTTCTTATCGTGTGCGGAAAACCAATTTACATAAGTTCCATCGTGAGTCTTCTTTTGTTGAATTTTCAAACTAGATGTTCAATAAACCACATCATTTCTACTGCGCATGACACAAGGTTTTAGTGTCTTACATTCAAAAATTTATTAAACTACTTTTTGTTTATGTTATACCAATTAGAATAGCATAAAATTTTGGCTAATAATCCATAATTTAATAGTATACAAATTTTAAATTCTTAATTCTAAAAGGAAATATATAAAAAAATCCTGAATTTCCACTATTGTAACGCACATGACACATTTTGTCTTAGCATGTCATCATCCCTATTTTATTCACCACCCCTCGAAAATGTACGAAATTAAACGTAAAATGCTCTCTATAAAATCGTTATTCCTCAAACAGACCATAATTTTTATGGGCTTCAATTTTGTTTTGTTACAGAAGCTATCGAAGAG